CAAATTTTCATCCTAATTTTCAAAATTATCATCAAACTTTTAATTAAGATTTCAATCGTTTGAGACCTGGGGGTTGACGCCGGGCATTCGAATGTCAATCAAAGTGACGTCATCGGCCAGAGGAGTGGCGTAAGAAAATGATAATGAGATGATGATGACCACGGTGACGGTGTTTGCTGTTGAGCTCTTCCTTAGCATTGCTGTATTTAAAAAAAAAATTGTTAATGATGAAATGATATAATCTGCGAATGAATGAATGAATGAACGAACGAACGAACGAACGAACGAACGAATAAATGAATGTGTGTGTGTGTTGTGTGTGTGTGTGTTTCGCGTTCTATATATTTAAACATTTTAAACATATTAGGACTCAAAATTTGAAAATTTGTAATCGTGCGGCAGCTGTAAGCAAATTAAGGAGAAAATGACGATGATGGAAGAGAGTAATGATTTCAAAGATGATGGTAGTGGTGATGATGATATTAATAACGATAATGATGATGATGAGAATGATGATGATCTAAATTCAACAACACCACAGACAACAACACCACAGACAACAACACCACAGACAACAACAACAGTAAAGGTCACCAACTAACATCAACATCAACAAACTAACTTTAGTAGTAAGATAAATTTTTAAACTGTAATAATCAAACAAACTAATTGATTACATATAGTTTAATATTTCTAATAAAATCCTTCCTACATAATATCAATAACCGATTAAAATCATTTAATAAAACTTGTCTAATCAGTTATTCACAATTGATTAATTAATTAATTAGTCAATTAATTTGTCTATTTTTCATGAAATATTCAACAATATGTTAGGCTAAAAGTTCGTATGATGTTTCTATTTTGAAAGCATTTCTTCGCGAGCTCAGCTTCTACAGCAAATGAAATTTATATTTAGAAAGAGAAGGACCTATATATACAGTGCTTGTGTGTGTGTGTGTTTGTCTGTGTTCGTGTTCGAGTTTGTGTGTGTTTTTGTGTGTGTTTGTGTGGGTGTGTGTTTATACGTGTTTGAGTGTGTCTATGTTTGCAGCTGTGTATATATTACGGTGACAAATTTCAGAAATTGTCTCTGACACATGTTTGGGCAAGTGTGCGTGTGTGTGTGTGTGTTTGTGTGTGTATTATTTGTATCTAAGAAATACACGCAAACAAACATTATACAAACATTATACATATACGTGTATAAGTATATACACACATATACATAGATGTATTGGATCCATGAATGTCAAACCAGACGATTCGCAGCATCAACCAGAGCTGCAGCGCATATGTATGTATGTATGTATGTATGTATGTATGTATGTATGTATGTATGTATGTATGTATGTATGTATGTATATATGTATGTGTGTGTGTGTATATACACAACGTACAAGCGATAATTCCGCCCACCTTAATGCTTATTTGTATATACGTTTGTATGTATGTTTGTATGTGTCTGTTTGTTTGTATAAATTTGTATTTATATATACAATACAATTTTTGGAGTTATTTTAAAGAGTCTATTCTAAAGAGCATTCCACGGATCCATAGTATGGTAGGCATTGTTGATGAGATGCGCCAAATATTTTTACAAATTGTACGAAATTATTACTAATTATTTTATTATTATAAATTAATTATTATTATAATTATTACTATTATGGTAACGGCTTTATCATGAATTATTTATAAAATTGCTTTGACTAGCATATGGAATCAAACCTGCGGATTGAAGCAAATTTTTCACAAAACTTCGAAAATAATTTTAATTTTATTTTATAGTAAAGTCTATAAAATAACAAATTGTTATAACAATTTATTATTATTATTTTAACAGAATTAACAAAATAAATTTTATTGATTGCTCACCTTTTTATATATATATTTAAAATATCGATTAAATTCATTTCGTTTAATTTAACACACGAGTGTCAGTTGTTTGTGTATGTAATGTATGCGTGTGTTGTGTGTTTGTTTGTGTGTATGTGCGTGTTTGTGTGTGTGAACATGCGTCTGTTTACGACAAACATATGTTTCGGTTGTACTGTTCTTATGTTGGTTTGAAGAGAATCACGTAGTCCCGAAATTTGACGTCATTTTAATATATGTAGATTTACCTGCTACTGCAACTGTTGTCTTTACTACAACTATCACTACTACTACTACTACTACTAATACTAATACTACTACTACTACTACTACTACTACTACTACTACTACTACTACTACTACTACTACTACTACTACTACTACTACTACTACTAATACTACTACTACTACTACTACTACTACTACTACTACTACTACTACTACTACTACTACTACTACTACTGCTTCTACTATCACTACTACTACTGCTGCTGCCGCTGCTGCTATTACTACTAATAATAACAACAACAATAATAAAAATTTTCAGGCTTTAATATCTTCATCTGTTCGCTTTAGCCAGCCTGCTTCTGAAATGTTAAATTATTTAAATAATAATAACAAC